CTCCATGCGTCGAACCCCATACTTTTCACTAACAATAAAAATACTGACTCCTGTAGGTCTATAGAAAAAAAAGAAGTTTTAAGGTTTGACTGATGCCTTTAAAAGGGACTGCAAAGAAATTTATAAGCATTGTAGAACCTCCTTGGCCTGTAAATGACTCTGAAATTAGTTTCTTTAATGGCAGAGGGCAGTTTTTCCTGAAGGCTGTTTAATTACATTTTAACTTCAAAAGTACATTGATTTGTCAGGTTTGGTAGGGCGGCAAATGGGTGCTATGCCAGTGGGGAAATAATGGCCAGGAGAAAAATTTTAAAGTTATAACTTGATAGTATTGTTAGTGGTGTTATTTGTAACTGTTTGTTGTTGTTGTTGTCCTTATGGTTTTCTCCTTTCGGTGTTGTCTGTAAAAGAGGACTGTGATATTTTATTGAGAATTTTAGCTGCCCTTGCCCCCTTCTCAACTCTTCTTAACCCATGGTAGTTCATTTTTGTTTGGTTGTTCCTTGGAAGCCACATTAAAAAGGATAGAGATGGTTATCGTATCCTGCACTTTGTGTTTGGTTGTCACTGTGTTTGTGAAGTTCAGTCGAGTCTTTTCATCCAGCTGCCTCTTTTTTTCATTAGCCTGGATATCAAGGGCAATTTTAAATAGTTACGATGACTGTGCTGCTAGTCCCTTTGTTGATATGCGCCTGTTCTTGATGTTTCTCCACATGCTGCCAACAAACTATGTATTTTTATGAGCCTTTTTGGTGGTATTGTGCATTGAGAAGACATTAAATCAAATTCATTAGTTAAAAAAAGACCTGTCAGCCCTACATGGAAGAGTTAATAAAACTGTATAGTATCTGAACTTTGAGTGGGTTTTTGTTTTTTTTGCTTGTCAAGTCACAGCTGACTTATAGCAACACTGTAGGGTTTTCAAGGCAAGAGACATTCATAGGTAGTTTACCATTGCCTGTCTCTGTATCAGGACCCTGGTATTCCTTGGAGATCTCCCATCATAATACTAGCCAGGGTTGAACCTGCTTAGCTTCCAAGATTTGGTGAGATCAGCTTAGCCTGGGATATCCAGATCAGAGCTTTGGGTAGTTATATACCCCCAATAAGGAGAAAATGTAAATCCTAACTTTTATTGGTATGATATAACTAAATAATGACAGCAAATGTTATCTAAATTGCATATGTTCAATCTGTTGTTGACTGCACTATCAAAAGTTGAATAGCCTAACTACAACATCCTTGCATATTGCTGTGAGAACCAGGCCACTGTTTTGGAATTCTAGTGCTAGCTAGCAAATTCTCTGAAAACATGCTGTATACAAAGGGTAGCTACTAGCTACTGAACAGAGTGGGAACAACCACTAAAGGACTATTGCTTCTAGCTTGCATTATAATCTGAATTAAACCTGTTCTCACTGTGGCATTTGAACCTCTGAATGGTTAAAGGGTCCTTACTCTAAAAGCTAAATGAATATTACATCTAATTTCCCCTATCAAAAGTTCTGTCATCCTGGCAGAACTCCTGCGGAGCTGTCTTGTAGAGAGCAGATTTTGCTATCAGAGGGCTTTTCTGTTCTTTGAAGATAATGAGCTTTTGATTGAGCAGTTATATCTCTCAAGAACAAAAAACAGGGATTATACGACAAAAACATGTGTGAATTCCAGTACCTGTGGCAGTTTCCTTCCCTTCCACCCCCCCCCCAGAAGATTTCAAATGTATTTAGAACAACATACTGAAGAGAGGCCTGCAAAGTTTCCTATCTAATTGACCATAAAAACTGTTGTTCCTCAACCTGCATTTCCAAATGGTTGGGGGCAGTAACTAGGGTTCCCAAGTACTTACCGTGATCCGGTGGGGAAAACATGCTCCCCAGCTGGACCATTTCTCCCTGTAACACACCATGCCATCGCCAGGAAGTGACGCTGGGCAACGGCATGATGCAGCGCGTCTGTTATCCCCGCAGGAATGATCCTGCAAGGACGTCTGTGTCCCCTACTGAATCACGGTAAGTACTTTGGAAGCCTGGCAGTAACTGGCATGTTTCTGGGTCCACCAATAATGGCTTAACAGAATGAGGAATGGCTAAAAAGTTTCATATGAAGAGAAATTAAAATATCTTGTATTGTTGATTGTTCTAGAACTAAGGTCATGTGACCTTACAGCAAGTCCTCAAACTACCAGTTCTCCCAACATTGTTCAATACAAGAGAATGTCTCTGAAATATAAATTATATTGCTACAGTAACTAAATTAATAAGAAATACAGAAAACTGAAATGGCCACAGATTTTTTTCACAAAGCCTAGATGATATCGTTTTCGAATGGGCTGTCATTAGCCATGTAATTTTTTTAATCTATAAGTGGGAACCTGCAAAAACTTGGGTGAGGCATCTCACTTCCGCCTCTCTACTATTTTCTCTTTCCATTTCCCCTAAGCCCCCATAGTGCCTATCCTTTTCCTGCTTCCTTCTGTCCTTGTAGGGTTGCCAATCTCTGGGTGAGGGCTGGAGATCTCCTGGAATCACAAAAGATCTCCCAAGTACAGAGGTGAGTTCCCCTTAGTTGCCCAATTAAGGTTGGGAAATCCCTGGAGATTTGGGGGTGGAGCCTTGGGAGAGTGAGGTTTGGGAAGGGAAACAACACAGCAGGGTATAATGCCATAAAGTCCATCCTTCTAAACAGCCATTTTCTCCAGGGGATCTGATCTCTGTCATTTGGAGAGCAGTTGTAATTCTGGGTGATCTCCAGCCCCCACCTGGAGGTTGACAAACCTAGTTCCCCTGGAGGAAATGGCTGTTTTGGAGGACGAAGTCTATGGCATTATACCCCTCTGAGGTCCTGCCCCTCTTCAAACCCCACCCTCACTAGGCTTCCTCCCCAAATTTCTAGGAATTTCCTAACCTCTTTCACTCCTCTTGGCAATCCCCATGTCCTCTCCCTGCCTCATACTCTCCTTCTCAGGAATTCACTAATCTACCTTTTGCCATAGAGTCCACCATACAAAGCAGCCGTTTTCTCCAGGTGAACTGATCTGTTGCCTGGAGATCAGTTGTAATCCCAGGAGATGTCCAATCACCACATAAATGACTCTCACTCCCAGTATATGAAGTTTACTGTTATATGGAGGTGAGTTTTTATCAGGGTACATTTTTTCTTTGATTAATTCTTCTGTTTGTTATTCTTCAGTACATCTTATTTTATATTCTAATAGCAAAGTCAGGATATCTTTGGAATGGGCAATACACATCTTTCTACAAACCTGAAACCCTAGGTTTGCTCAAGTCAGTTTGCCTCTCACAGACTTATTAAAAACTAAAGGGAAGGGGCCGGAAAGTGCCAAGCTGGGGGCACACTGGTTGTGGACTTCCGAGTGCCAAGAGGCTTTTGAGTGCCTCAAAACTTTGTTTAGTTCAGAACCCATGCTTGCCCACCCCGATGAAAACAAGAAATTTACCGTCCAGGTTGATGCATTGGACACGGCCATGTGAGGGGGGGCATTTTGCAGGAAGGGGCCGATGATAATTTGCACCCACTGGGTTACGTGTCTCATAAGTTCAATGCCACTGAACGTAACTGGTTGGTGTGGGACAAGGAGGCAGGGGCCATTCAGTTAGCACTGTCTACTTGGAGACATTGGTTGGAGTGGCGAGAGTTCCCTTTGAAGTATGGACAGATCACAAAAACTTGGAAGTGCTATGCACCCCCCGCAACTTGAATGCCAAGCAATTGCGGTGGGCCAATTTCTTTCTAAGTTTAACTTTACCCTACACCATCTCCCGGGGAAATCCAACTCCTTGACTGACGCGTTATGACAGCCAACGGGAGCACGTCATTGACTCTATGTTCACTCCCACCCAGCTGGGTGGAGCTGTCATGACCTGCCAACAGGCAGCAGCCCAGAAGAAGGAGCCCAGGGCAGGCTGGGAATTGAAGTTTGCTTCAGCATTTTCGGAAACCGATCAGAGGGAGGTGGAGTCAGAGAGTTCTTTGGAACTGAGAGAAAATTGGTGCTGGTATAACGGGCATAGACTGTTTGTGCCTTCATCTCTCCAGGGGAAGGTGATGGCCGCGACTCATGGAGCAAAGCTGGCTGGCCATTTCAGATTTGTTAAGACTCTACATTTGACACAGCATCAGTTCTGGTGGCCGGGCATGCGCAAAGACATCTCCTTATTCGTTCAGTCCTGCCAAATATGCCTGATGTGTAAACCCTAGCCAGGGAAGCCGCCAGGGCTGTTAAAACCCCTCCCCACTCCTAATCACCCATGGGAGGTCATATTGATGGATTTCATCATGGACCTCCCCCCGAGCAGAGGTAGTGATATGGGTGGTGGTCAATCTGTTCTCCAAACAGGCACATTTTGTCCCATTCGCCAGCCTCCCGACTGCACGTTCTTTGGCTAAGGCGTTTGTCCAAGACATCGTTCGGTTGCATCCCCCCCCCCCCGTAAAGTGATCTCAGACCGCGGCTCCCAGTTCATTGCCAAATTCTGGGGGGAACTGATGAAAGCCTTGGGGCCGAACTGGGCTCTAAGTAGCGCTTATCACCCTGAGACTGATGGGCAAACGAAACGGGTGAATCAAACCTTGGAACACTAATTCTAAATTAGGTAACCAACAACTTGCAGGCAAAGGGTATTCCAGCATGCAATACCTAAGAATGGGCAACTTAGCATCTCAAAAGTAGCAAAGTTCACTTGAACTGATTTGAAAATGCAGCTCTGATTTGTTCTCACACCTCAGGTTCTTTAACATAGGTTTTAATCACTTTTAAGGAAAAAACCAAGAATCCTCTAAGATTTTGAATTCTACAAAATTTGTCTTACTCCCAGGAAAACTGCTGACATTCTTTTGCTGCTTTGCTCTGGGAAGTGCAGCTCTTGAAAAGTTCATCTTGATCGCCATTTAGAAACCTCAGTGAGAGGCATCTTGACCTAAAAAATCTACCACTAGACATATTTATAGACCCATGAGTAGAAAGAGAGAAATATTTTTACCTCCAATAGGTGGCCCAAGCAGTATGGTGCAACATTCCACAATGGTGACCAGTCCTACGGCACTTGTGAATCGGCTGCTACCAACAAGATCCATGAGAGTTTCAAACAGCATTGCACAAACCATTCCAAAAGCTAAGCCGAAAAAGGCCGAATACACTACTAAGCCCACGTAGCCTGTGGCTAAAGGGCACAGGAGATGGCAGACTCCATTAAAAATAATGGAGATGCTGAAAAAATATTGAATCTTTGGCCTCACCCATCTGCTGTTTGCAATGAGTCCTGTAACTGGCCTGGCTACCATATCAACAACGGCAAGAATAGAGAGGAGGAAAGCTGCAGAATATTCATCAATTTTAAGGTGCTTCGCATAAGGAGCCAAAAAAACAATTGGAGCAAAAAATCCCAGGAACATGAGCACATTTCCTACCAAATATATCAGGAAGCCTCTGTGTTTGAAAAGGGATAAATCAAGGTACTTGTTAAAGTTTTCACAACAGTCTCTGTCCTCCCTCTCTTCATTGCCAGGCCCAGGCAGTTCAGCTTTTCCCGTTTCCAGCTGTTCTTCTCGAGTCTCCATAGCTTGCCTCGCTTTGGGGCTCTTAGCAGGGCCTGTAGCTGCTCCAATGGGTCTGAAGAGAGCTCCAGCCACACAGCAGTTCAACAGAACTCCCCCCAGAATAAAAAAACTCCCTCTCCAACCAAAGTGGTCAAAAAGGAACTGGTTCATAGGGGCAAGTGTAAACAGCATGACAGGGCTTCCTGCCATGGCAAGGCCATTGGCAATTGGTCGTCGTTTCAGGAAGTACTTTCCAATGATGATCACAGAAGGCTGGAGGTTAAGGGCAAGGCCAAGCCCTATAACAGAGACAGAACAAGAAAAAAATATGTTAATTCAGAAGGCAAAAAGGGTTAACTGGACTATGATGAGGTTGCTTTAAAGTTAAATAAGAAATGAGTAATGCAGCATTTGGTCAACAGAGCTCCATTTATCAGTACAAATTCAAAATTCAGTGTCCTGGGGTTGTTTCATGCATTATGTTGTTTATGTATTTACCTTAGATTTGTTAGGTTTATGTCTGAAAAGACATCAAGTGTGAACAAGGCAATCAATGGTTACTTTGGAGTCATCCAGGCATACTCATCAGGGTAGAGGCCCAGCATATGGTCTCTTGTTGAAGCTAAGCAGGTCTGAAACTGGTTAGTAGGTATGTGCATACCAAAATACCTGAGCCAAAAAATATGCTCCCAAAATGACTTTTCAGGTCATTCTGTGTATTTATGGATCAGAACCGGAACTCTCTGGAATTACCAAACACACACACAATGTGAGTCAAAAAGTGGTTATTTCCAGCTGTCTGAGGTGGGTGTTTGCAGAATAAATGGCATCACATTCACAAAGAACCAAGTCTACCCTCTCCCACAAAGACTGCACCCAGGTTTGAAGGGGGTTGGACAAAGAGGTCTATCTATATAGACCACTGAGCAAGGTGCCTCAACCATCCTAATGTCCACTATTTCTTACAGGGGGAAATGGCATGCTTACAATGTTTAGTCTATCAAACCAACCACCACTTTCCCCCAAAGAAGCACCCCAAAACTCTACCAGCAAACGGTCCATGAATCAGCCCCTGGTCCATGATGAAATTAGGTCTGTGGTCCACTCTGTGCCCATCCCTAGAGGGGACTCACACAGTCTCCTATGATTTTGGGGGAACCCAGTTTATTTTAAACTATAAACCTTCTCCTCAGTTACCAGGTGTTCTAAAGGTAGTGAGTGTCTAGGCTTTGGGTTCACTACTGTGAGGTAATTTTTGTGGCTCACAAGTAAAATATGGAGGTCACTGAGGCAGGAATTTGATATTAACAACAAAGATTTATTTATTTACAAGTAGGTTTCAAGGAACAGATCAGCAGCACAGGTCTCCAAACAGACAAAAGAGAAACCTGGCTGAAGCACATTAATTTAGAGGGTAGTTTCAATTTTCTTTAACACTTTCAGGCATAAACTGGCTTTGACTGATTAGCCACTAGGCTGGAACTTCACACCCACACAGGATCCCACCCACACCAGCCTGCCCTTTCCCAAGAGTCAGACTAAATGACTGCTCATTGCCAGAGACAGGCCTAACAATTGGGTACTCTGTTTTCTGTTAAAAGTAGAGCCAAACCACTCCGCCACACTACCAAGCAGAGCTACCCTTCACTCTGTTTGCTCTTTTCCTGAGCCAAACCTGAGCTCTCACTGCTGTCTCCCTAGATGTACAACTGGGTCTCCAGCATCAGCAGCATCCCAGAACTCGCCCAGGTCACTCACTTCATCCACAGTGAGCATAGATGCATCATCCATGTGGAGTGATTCACCTCCTTCAGCCATAGTTCCAAAATTCCTAGCTAACACTTTTAAAATAGCAAAACTTCCTCACAGTCTGATGCCAATTCTGTACACATAGGGCAAATATACCCACAATTATTGCAATTGGATCCCAGTCCATAGATCCCGACGCTAAAAGCCACCATGTATAAACTCATGCCCTCACGCCTATCCAGGAATGAGGGGCAAGCCTATACTTTTCAATACATTTAACAACAACACCCAGAAAGGTAGGCTACCCTCTCTGGATCTCAGAGCATTTGCCACCAGGAATCTCTAAACTTAATCCCTCACCAGCCTGAGATTAGAGATTCCAGAATCTCAGTTGGCATCTGGGATTTAACACATTAGCAACTCAATCCAGAGCTGTGCAGTTAATCTTACCAAGGTAGCGCAATTTGGTGAGCAGAAGGCACAGGAGTTTAGCCTTGAGATCTCAGTTACAACAATACAAACACATTAACAACAAGAATAGTTTTATTCAGTACAGAATTTAGCAATTAGACTAATAAAAATTTCAAAACAAGAAAACTTATGGCTCTTGGCCCTCACTAAACATTAAAGAGATATGCATAGTTACCAGGATGATCCATAGTCAAGAATGTCCATGGTTAGAGTCCAAATTAGACAGTCCAATTAGATCCCAAGGGATCCTGAGGGAAAATCTCCCTTGTGCACCAGCCATGTGCTCAGTTTCACAAAGGAGGTCATTGTTCTCCCTGGGACAGCATTTCCCAGGTGCAGTTCAACCAAGTAGAGAGACCAAGGAAAATCTGAGCAATCTTCCAAGGGGCAGACAATTAAAAACCCCAATCCAGTCACAATCACCCTGGCCAGAAGCCAACTGGAGTAGACATAGGGGTGTTCAATTGTTGGGTTGCCATGGGTACAACATTTGAATGGTCAGAGCTCTGAAGGCCACACCTGCAGTTATGTGACCCCCAAATTCCAACCACTCCTCCATGCTGTATGTGACATGGGCCATGGAGCCTTAAAGCAGGCGCCTTGAAGTCTAGCTCTTCCACTTAGAGGTGTGAAGAGTGTGTGGTTATATGGCATAGCAATTGAGCTTCTCTGACCAAATGTTCAAGCCATTTGGGTTCAACAGGAAATCAACACAGCAGGTTATTCAGCAAGACATCCCAGGGGAAGGCAGGAACCTTTAGAAATCAATATTTCTATATACCTTGTCACTCCGGCAGGGGAATTTTGGGGGTGTTCCAGCGGTGGGCAGGGAATTCCTGGTATTTGGGTGGAACTCTATTTTTTTTGCCCTCAAACCATAGAGTCTAACCAAATACCAGAACATCCCCATGTGACATTCCCGATGTGGTGATGTCACTTCCGGGTAACATAATCATTTTAGGGACCTTGCACAGTGATGTCCCCGTTTAGTGGTGGGGTTTCCCCAGCTGGCCAGCTGGTCCACAGCGGGGAGAAGCCCCTGAAACCAGGGGATCCCCTGCCCAGCCCTTGGGGCTGGCAAGCCTATCTCTCCCTGAGACAGAACTGAACTCCAACTCCTGCTGTGTTTCCCTCCAACATTCTACCTCCCTTCTAAAGGTGATCGGTTGCTGGAGTAGCACTACCATAAGCTTCAGTGAGTGGCTGTTTTCCACTTCAAGGGCAATAAAACCTGTCCATCACAGCCCCCTCACCAATTCTGCATCCAAAATTTACCAATTTCTTTTTCCCAAAATGCATACCCCTACTGGGTTATATCTTCATGAGAAACTCCCTGGGAGCCCCCAGAACAATCCCCTGGTTTTTGTCATGAAAGAAAACTGGGAAATTAAATATATATGTATATAAATAGAGTCCTAAAGATATACTTTGCTCCTGTACAACTGACAGCAGTTCCATAATTCTTCTTCCAAACAGTTCCTTTTTTAAAAAAAGAAAGCAAACAAGAGAAGCCGACATCAGGGGCTGAGAATCAATGGGAGAGAAGGATTGCATAACCTTTTTACTTCTTGCTGTTCACATGCTCAAAACTGCTGTCACCCAATGTTAGGGTTACCAATGTTAAGGACCTGTAGTTCTTTTGGAATTACAACTGATCTCCAGTCTACAGTTCTCCAGGGGGAAATGGAACCCTTGAAGGGCAGACTCTATGGTAAACTATGTAGTCTAGAAGAAATGGAAGTCCTAGAATAATATAACATCCCTGTTGAGCTCTGTCACCTGCTTGGGCATCACCCCCAAATCCCCAGGAATTTCTCAAACTACAGTTGGCAACCCTGCCCATGTTTTATAAAAATGAACCTAATAATGGCAGACTTGCCCATCACATGTAAATTTGCCCTGAATGGGAAACCCAGCTTTGTTTCCATGCATTGTGCATAATGGCACTGAAGGAAGGGGGTGTGGCTCAATGGCACAGCATCTGCTTTGCATGCGGATGATCCCAGGTACAATCCCCCAGCATCTCCAGTTAAAGGGATCTGGCAGTAAGTAATGTGAAAGACCTCTGCCTGAGATCCTGGAGAGCCACTGCCAATCTGAGTAGATCATACAGACTTTGATGGCCAAGTATAAGGCAGATTCAAGTGTTCATGAGGCTCTCCACTTTCTTAACTTATTCTAAGTGCCACATCTGACTCTCCTTGGGATAACATAGAGCTTAGATGTTACTTTGCTTTTAGCACACAACCACTTTTCACTGTTTGGTGCCTACCTGTCTTATGTTGCAAATCCTCAGCATTATTCCCAGGAAGTAGGACTCATTAAAACCAACGCTCCCTCTAAGCTGTGGAGTCTTGTGAGCAAAGATTCTACTTTGTGAGCTACTGGCATTAAAGTTGTGAGCGTGCGATTTGGCTACTGCACAAATCACTTTGCTCTGGAGCCATCCTTCCTGAGCGAAGGCAAAAATGTGTGAGCCAGAGGCTAAAAAACTGTGAGCTAGCTCACACTAACTCAGCTTAGAGGGAACACTGATTAAAACCCATCAGACTGATTTAACAAGCTAAGCATGGTCAGGATCAGAATACACGGGCTAGTTCTCTACTTGGCTGCATGCTTGCATGTAAAGATGGGATAATCAGCTAGTGATTAAGCATATAAGCAACATAGTTCCCTATGTTCTTCTAAGCCCAATGACTTCAGTAAATTCAGAATCAGGAGGGTATGATTCTGCTTAGGACTGCATGGTAAATGCACAACCCTGAACTCCCTCGCCCAAGTCAAATGCTCAATCCACTATACATACCAGCTCTCATGAATTACCTATGGCTCAAATAGAAAGTCGTTGCTTTCACTAGTCTAGATTTAACCAGACATTTATTCATCTTTATACACTTCTGAGTTTCTCTAGAGTTACAGCTCTCTTGATTAAGAGAGACCTGCAGCTGTAGTACTCAAGGAATATCCTACTTCCCTGATGAAATCACTGGCAAATCATTGTCAAAACTCACTGCTGAATAATCAAGTCGCAAATCTCATTTTAAAGCAAACATCGACTCTGACTTGTTTCCCCCCCCCC